GCACTTTGGTGACCAGGAAGCAGAGATAAGAGAAGAAGGGGCAAGAGACAAAATACACCCTACAAAGTCATATTCCCAATTGCTTTCTGATTTCTTCTGGGCCCTGCATATCATTTAGTGGCCAATTTGCCCTTCTTATGAGCCAGTAGCAGCCATGTGGGGCCAGGAGAGAATCAAGAGGCCAACACGTGCCTTCCTATGAGCCAGCTGACATGCAGGCCAGGAGACAAGAAGAGCAACTCCCCCACCCACCTCTAGCACCTGCGGATTCAGAGGAACATGGACTGAGTGGATAGCAACTGAGATACAAAAACAACTTAATGCTTGGATTGTTTGACTGACTTTGCAGGCCAAAACCCGGTAGTCTGAGCATTTATTTAGAAGCTAACAATATGCAGTATAGCAACTATGGTGGATTTCCTTCTGTCTTGTTTTTGAAATCCAATATTGTTTTCACTATTTATTCAATTTTATTGTTTTTCTTTCTACAATGTACTATTTTGATTGGTTTTATTCTATTCTGTTCTGTTTGATTTTATTATGTCTGATGGTATGGACAGTAATTTTGAAGATAACAAGAGGCATTATGGTAGCCATTGTTGATTTCCTATTACTCTATTTTGAAATCCTGTATTACTTTCATTGTTTTGTTTTGATTGGCTTTATTCTGTTTTATTTTGTTCAGTTTTATTTGCTTAACAATAAAATTCAAAAAACCCATTTACCTAACTCATAGTGAATTAATCCATGATGAGATTAGCACCTTCATGAGCCAGTCAGTTCCCTAGACTCCACCTCTGAACACTGTTACACTGCAGATTGTCTTAGTCATTTTTGTTGTTGGAACACAACACAACTCCTGACCTTACAGCTTAAAGGAGGAGGGATTTATTTTGGCTCGCAATCTCAGTCTGTGGTGAGCTGGCTCCAAGGAACACACAGGATGGCAGAGGGGCATGATGGAAGAAACAGTGATCTAAGCATCTAGGAAGCTGAGTAGCAAGAGCTGGGGATAAGAATACGCTCTTCCAGTGACCCATGTCCATCTCCTAACAGTATGTTTAGCTACTGAACTCATCCATGAGAGAATCCATTAATGAATATAGTGTTCCCATATCCAGTTATCTTTTAGATACATGAGACATGGTGGGAGGTGCGTTTTAGATCTAAACCATAACAGGCAACTCACTCTCAGTACCTAAGTCTTTGGGGGAAATCTTTATATTTAAACCATAACACAGAGGAAGGATGAAGTCATTCTGTTTGGGGTCTTATCCTGGCATGTTCACAAGGAGGGTATATTTGAGCTGTGCCAGGTTGGAACGGTGAGGTGTAAGAATCCCTAGAACCAAACCCCAGACATGATTGGGAAAGGCTGAGGAGTAGAGAGGTATGAAAGGGCAGTGGAAAGAAGAGGAAAAACTCGGTGCAGCGGAGCAGGAGCCTCTTTAGCCCATGAATCCCATTAGTCCCATCTCTGCTGCTGCCGCACCTCCACCCCAATGTTTCTGGGCGACTCCCACTGCGAGACCCCACTTGATGATTCTCAAAATGCACAAGCAAGGAAAGTCCCACAAATATTCTCAATGACCACATTTCCCCAGGTTTCCTTGGTGAACTGATCAGAGTTCTATTGGTAGCAAGCAACATAAGCCTAAATCAGACTATATCTAAACAGTGTGAGGGTGATCTCACATTAGGCATGACACATCTACAACTCAAAGCAGTGCCAATACAGACTCTCACTTCTCTGCCGGCTTTCCACTGCAGAGGCTCTCAGGTATTACCACCCTCAAAACATACAGATGCCAGGATGGCAAGGTGGTGTCCAGGAGCTTAACACCCACAAGTCCACCATCCCAGTACGTGCAGTATAAAGACTATTTTTGATGGGACAACCTTGGATCATATGACCATTTCTGAACCAATCATGATGGCCAGCAGGATGGCATGTACTGATTGGGCAAGCTTAGACTGGTCTTAGCTTTGAAGCCTGGGACTAACCACACCCTGGGCCCAGAGACTGACAGCCCAACACTGGCTGCAGTTCCCCAGAAGAAAATCTTGCTGCTGAGGATGTGTTCTGGAAAGGTGTGGGCCAAAGCAGCCTTGGTCACTGGGCCTGTAGCTAATGTGAGCTGAGCTGCTGGACCACAGATTTCCTACACTTTCTGTGTCTTCTCAGCTCTCTTATTCATTCTGAAAGACACAATGGAGAGACAGGATTACAGGGTATGGCTGACACTGTCAGGTTCCCTGCCTTCACTGGTCCAGACATGCTAAGTCAATGTCCACTGGGCAGCTAACCTGCATTTCCTCTGGCTGCAAGATCAGGCACTGCCCATGCCATACATAGCTGGCAGTGTCAGGGAACGTCCCCTGCCTTCCCTCAGACAGCCCTCTTTCAGTGACTGCTGACACTAGTGTAGGTTGGATGACTGAAGTAGTGGAGCAGCCATCAAAATCTCCTGTGGGATTAAGCTCCCCTTATGCACAGGGGTAACTAGCTGGATAGCATGTGCTTGGTTTTCTCTCTTCCCTTTTTGTACTACGCCCTCATTGGTGCGCTGTTCTCCCTGGATCACCACCAATGGGCTACAGTACTTTCATTGAAAACCTTGTCTGGGGCCTTCTTGGGATCTCAAACTAGGACAACCTGAAAGCTGCTTTAATCAGTCTTCAAAAAGGGAATCACTAATGAACTCATGTCGAGACAGTGCTATTATGTGTGATGAGAAGCCAAAAACATTCCAGCCTGGGGCATTAGTGTTTAAGAAAAATCTTCTTGGGAACCTTTGTGGAGGGAAATAGAGTGAAGATGAGTCAGGAGGAGTCTCAGCAGGGCCTTATACAGGATTTTGTTGAGGCTGGGATAGTGGCTGTGACCCCGAACTAAGAGAAGAGGTTGCCTCATCTCCACACAGAGATCAGCAGACGTGCTAGCTGATGGTAGCAATGGTGCACGCGTGGGAAACAGGCACTCAGAACACCAATGTGAAATGGGGCTACTTCTGTGGGGGCAATTTGGTGCATTTAAAATTTGATCCAGAATTTCACTTTTAGGAATTTATTTGAAGTTGCCTGCAGATGCTACGAATTATCATATAGGCTGAATATATGATAATCTTTGATTTCCCAAAGAAAAGATCAAAACATCACATTCATTAGGATAACTGGTATCAAATTCAAACAAAACAGAAGAAGATAAAATATTTTTGAGAATGTGCAAAAACTGACACCATTTTGCACTGTTGATGCAAATGCAAAATGGTGACGCCAACATGGAAAATGATATGGCAGTGCCTCAAAAAATTAAACATGTAATTACATAGGAGCCAGAAAGGTCATTTCTGGACATATGCCCAGGAGAACTCAAAGCAGGGAGTCAAAAAAAAAAACCACTTGTGCATGAATGATCACAGATATATATTTGTATGAGCCAAAAGGTAGAAGCAACTCAAGTGTCCATAGAGTAATGAATGATTTTTTAAAATGAGGTATATCTATAGTTGAATAATATTCAACCTTTATAATGAAGGAAGTTCTTACACACACTACATAGAGATGGACTTGGAGGATATTTGAAGTGAAATAAACTAGTTACACAAGACAAATACCGTATGATTCCATTTACATGATGGCCTAGAGTAGTCATATTCACAGAAACATCAAGTAGCATGGAACCTGGCTCCGTGGCACACACCTATAATCTCAGCCTACTCTGTAGGCTCAGAAGGATGGGAAGTTGGGGTCCAGATTGGAAAATTTAGTGAGATCATATCAACATTTAAAAAGGCAGAGGGTAGCATGTGGGTGCAGCTCAGTGACAGAGCATTTGCCTAGCATGCATGATGCCTGGAGTTCTACTCTCAGTGCTTTAAAAAAAATCTTATCTGGGGATCTTCAGGGCTGCAGGAGTAGCTCAGTGTTTGAGAGCTTGCTAGCATGTTTGAGGTCCTGAGTTTGATCTCCAGAACCACAAATTAAAAATATTTAATGTATTATTTTTACTCCAGGCGTATTTTTAAATCATACATTAGGCAAAATACTGCATCACTTTGGAAACGTAGCTTTGCTCTCTTGTCATTCTATCAGACAATCATGACTTTTTTCCCTTCAGTACTGTGGACTTGATGCAGAGCTCTGTAAGAGTCTCACTGAGTCACCAAGTTGCCCAGGCCAGGATCAAAGTTTTGATCCTCCTGCTTCAGCCTCACCTATTGGTATGACAGGCATGTTCCACTCTGTCCTCTGACCTATTTTTTGTTAGTCTTCTGCAGGTTTATCTGTCATTCATTTGTCACTGTCACTGGGATCACATAGCTTTGCAGTGTTACTACCATAAAGGTGGTTGCAATAGATTTCCAATATCCCTGAAACTTAACCCGAGTAATAACTATTCATTTGCAAAACATTAAGTCCTACAGATATAGCTTATCTCTCTATTTACACACAGACAAATTTTTTTTTTTTTTTTTTTTTTTTTTTTTTGGTCTTTTTCCTTTTTATCGGTACCAGGGATCGAACTCACGACTGCCTGCTTGCAAGGCAGGCGCTTATGCTGCTGAGCTAAATCCCCAGCCCCACATAGACAAATCTTTATTTTTGCAGTACTAACAACTGAACGTAAGGCTATCACACTGAGCTACACCCTACTCTTTTAAAATAAAACAAAATACCTCTCCCCACTTTTTTTTTGAAACAGAGTTTATGCTAAGATTCTGAATTCCCCAAACTGGGCTCACTTGCAATCCACTCACCTCAGCCCCTGGAGTAGCTGGAATTACAAAAATGCGTCAGAGGATCCACTGGGTTTGGATTTTAAACCTCTTCAGAAGGTCCAGGTGTTAAAGGTTTGGCCTGAGCCAATGGTGCTATTGGTAGGGAATCTTTAGAAGGTGGGGCCTTACAGGAGGAAGTGAGGTCAGAGGGGCGTGGTCTAAAAGGCGTTTGGACCCGCCCTTCAGCCCTGCTTCTTGTGGTGAAGAGCATCCTGGAAGAGTGCTCCTGGTGAAGTACCTCTCTGCAGATCCAGAAACTTCGGACTGCAAAAGAGGAGAATGAAGTGACTGAAGTCTGAGACTGTGAACCAAAACCAGGCTTTTCTCCTTTTTAGTTGTTTTTGTCAGTATTCTGTCGCAACAAGGGGAAGCTGTGTTTAAACTTTATGTAAGTGGAATCACCCTACCATTTGGAGCAAGGGCCCTGCCCACGCGCATAAGCAGTGCAGGGGTGCTGGGCTTTTGCAAATAGAAGTTTTGACAAGGCTGAGTGGCAGAGACTGGCGGCAGCGTCTGTCTTTTTCTAGCTGGGCATGGTGACACACCCCTGTAACTCCAGGGCTTGTAGGGTGCCACCAGAGAATCGCAGGTCTGAGCCCAGCCTTGGCAATTTAACATGACCTTGCTTTAAAAAAAAAAAAAAATCCTAGAATGTTGATCAGTGATACAGTGCTTGCGCTAGGCCCTAGGTTCAATCCCCCACATCAAATAAATAAATCAATAAAAATAAAAAGTATTTTCCTTACCTGGTTTGGAGTAAAGGTTAGAAAGCTCTTTCTAAACCAGGCATAGTGGCACTCGCCTATAATCCCAGCACTCAGGAGGCTGAGGCAGGAGGATCGTTATGAGTTCAAGGCCAACCTGAACTACATAGTGAGACCCTGTCTTAAAGAGACCAAAAAAAAAAAATTTTTTTTTTGTGTTGTCCGTATTCTTGTCAGTACTTGTTATTGTCTGTCTTTTGTACTTTAGACATTTCTGGTGAACAGGTTGTATTCTGTTGTCTTAATCCACCTTTGCCTAACAGCTAGTGAAGTTGAGCATATTATCATATGTTAATCGGTCCCTGGAATATCCTTTCTAAATGAAGTGCTTGCCAAGCCTTTTATCCATTTTTTCCCCACAGGTATCTGGAGTCTTTTGCTTATTGTTTAGTGGAAGTTCTTTATATAGTTTAGATGTAAAGCTTTTGTTGGACATGTGTATTGCAAGTCTCTTCTACTCTGACGCTTGCTTTTCATTCTTTTTCATGGTGTCTGTGAGTAGAAGTTCTTAATTTGAAAGCATTGCTTTCTAAAGTAATCTTTAAAAGGTTTGTTTACAGTTTCATCTAACACTTTGCAACTGTGAAGTCATATCCCCTGGAAAAATTACTAAATCTGTGTTAAATATCTCTCCCACCCCAAGGAGTTCTGCTGGTCTATTGCCATAAACATCCAAAATTAGAATTCACTGAGGTCATTTCAGGCTATTGTGTCTTCTCCAAATAGTATTTCCTTGTTTGAAATAAATGAATCGGAAAGCACCAGGTAATGGGAGAGTCGTTATGAGTGAGTCCTTGTGTAAACAAGGACTCCTTTAGAGGATTCTGTAAGGGTTGGAGGTGTAGCTCAGAGGTAGAGTACTTGCCTAGCATGTGTGAGGTTGGGTTCAACAACAGCAACAACATTTTTAGAAAGAACTAAAGATTGCCTAATATTCAAACATGATTGCTTTGTGTGGAGGTACCATCATTCCACTGTTCTGACAGAAAAAAGATTAGAAATACTCGGATGTCCCAATTCAGTGAAATACTGAAGAGGTATTTTAAAAAGATGAATTTATGCATGACTGTATAGACTTAAGAGGGAAAAATGCAAGGAATGGGGCAGAATGTGTGTGTACACACAGAAAACAGGTACATTCCTGCTATTTGAAGGCATTGCAGCCAGCGATGGAAAGGAGAGGAGAGCAGAGGTGGGGAGGGCAGTTACTTTGCTTTGCAAGCCATCTGGGGGTATTCAAAACATTTTTCAATCCATACACATTTATTATTGAATGCAAAACACTAAAATGTTAAAAATTTTAAGATTTGGGAATTATAAAATGAATGGTAATTTTCTCCCCAGGACGTATGTGCAGTCATTTTGTCTGAGCCCTTCCTGTTTCCCTGTAGAAGTTCTTCCTGCCTCCCTGCTGGGGAGTAAGGGCCGAGGGGAGGAGCTAATCATGAGGGTCGCCTTCCGCTCTATCCTCAGCAGTGGAAGAACCTGTGTTAAGCATACTCAGGACCAGCCACAGGCCCAATACAAGCTGCTCACATTTCCAGGGACCATTGAACCATCCCAACAATTTTTTTACATCAGAAGAAAAAATGAGAATACAATGTTATGTTTAGTTTTAGGTCAACAAGAGTCATAAAATTTAAAAATGTGTTTATATATAAATTGTATGTGCATAATTTAAAAATTATAAGTACATATCACTTTTTTTTAAATGAAGAAGGAGCTTCTGAATACAAAAGTCTCTAGAAAGTTAAAATGTGACTCGGGGGCAAACCTTTTCTGTAAAGAGTCAGTAAAGTTTTGAGGTTTAGAGCCACATGGTCTCTGTTGTAACCGAATTCTGCCCCTGTAGCAGGAGGCAACTATGGATAATATGCACATAGATGAGCAAACACCTTGCAGAAACCAGCAGCGGGCTGGGCTGTCAGAGGATGATAGCTCGCAGTTGGTGCCCTTAAATGTCAGTGCTTGGTGAATGAATGAGCGCGGTACAGAAGGGGTTGCAAACCAGGCCCGATCCCTGTCCAGTGGCTGGTTGCTATGTCTGTGTGTGTGTGGTGGGGGTCTATTGGGCAGGGCTAGTCTGTTTTCACGTTACCCCAGGCCCTAATATGGTGTGTGACCTTGGGCAAGCGGGGCTTTGAGCTTTTGCTGGGCCTCAGCTCTGTCCTAAGAAGGCAGCACTGGCTGTAGGATGTTGAGAGGGTGAAATGTAACAGAGGCTGTGGAAGTGCCTGGGATAGGAAAAGGAGATTCCCGCTGGGCAGTGCAGGGCAGGAACTGCCTGCTCCTTGGAGGCCTAGCAGCCTGGAGAATGTCAACTTGGCAGAAGAAAGAAGTGGGTGGGGCTGGCCAGCCAGTAGCCAACCCGAAACACAAACAGTCCCTGGAGAGGGGCCGAAACTCTCACGTTGGTGAAAACATGCTTGTAAGGTTTCTGTCTTTCCCCTGAGCAGGACAGGGGAAGGTGACCTGGGTTGGTCTGACTTGGCAGTGGCTGGCAGTGACCTTCCTGGGGACAGGCACCCAGACAGAGATGGCCCTGAGAGCCCCCGTGTAAGGACTGTTGACTGGCCAGGACATGCTGTCTGAGCCATAGGTTGTGCCTCTGGCCCTGAGCAGGAAGCCACTGTGGGACTGCCCATGGCCTGGAAGCAGCCATTAATGGGAACAACACACATTTCCAGAACTCTTGAGAGTTCTTGGAGAATCCTTTCCATCAATGTCAGGGTACAGAATTCATTCAGATGGGCCCAAAAGTAGTGTTTTCATGACTTTCAGAGTTGTTCTTGAGAGTGTGTGAGGAAGCATGTGCAGAAATCAGATTTCACAGGAGCCGCAGATTGGTGGAGAGATTTGTTGGAAGTTAACATACTGTTCTGTGCCAGTCAGGGTAAGCAAGGTTAAGCTGCAGAAATGACTTACATCTGAAATCCCTGTGATACAACACACAGCCATACTTTGCTCTGGCAATGTGCCTGCGCAGGTTGAGGTCCTGTCCTGCCGAGGAGGGACTCAGTGTGAGACAGTCTTGGTCTCATATGAATAATTGCCACCTTTTCAACAGGGACTTCAGGGATTGAGGAGCCAGGCAGAGGCTATTAAGGGAGCAGCAGGAGGATGGGGCCCACCTTTCATTAACTGCCTCTCACTGCAGGTGACCTTTATCACTTCTGCTCACAGTCCTTTGGCCAGATCTAGTCATTTGGCCTCACCTAAGTGCAAAGGAGTGGAAATGCCTTCCTGTGTACTCAGAGAAGAGGGGAGATCTGCTGCCTTTATCCCTGGTAATCTTTGCTACTCAAATAGGCAGTGGCTAATAGTAGAGGTAGGTTTTAAACTGGGTGCAGTTCCACATGCCTCTAATCCCAGCTACTCAGGGAGGTGAGACAGGAGGTTGGTGGGCTTGAGGCTAGCCTGGGCAAATTAGGGAGACCTTGTCCAAAAAATAAACAAGGGCTAGAGGGTGCTGCCTGCTGATACAGTGCTTGCCTAGCTAATGAGGCCCTGGGTTCCATCCACATTACTGGGGAAGGGAAGTGGGGGACAACACAGTATTTATGCTGAATCAGCCCCAAACAAATACTGAATACGCTGTGAATGTATACACGGATATGATGTATATAAGTACACAGCTTGTTCCAGAATGATGGGTAAGGAAATGGAAGATTTTCAGAGGATGAGAGGGATCAGAATTTTGTCTTTTCTGTAGTGTCTGCACTTCTAACATAGAGCTTTGTACATTCATTACACACGAGAGTGATAAAGAAGTGTGAATAACACTCTCCTCTGGGGTTCAGGGACCATGTCTGAGTCTAATTTGCCATGAACTTTTATTGTGACAGTGGGCAAGTCAAGGACTCGTTTTGGGCCTCAGGTTTCCCAACTAGAAAATGGACCAAATGCCCTGGAAGGCCCTCAGTTACGCCTTCCTGCAGTGCCTGGGATCTGTCTCCCTCCTGATTGCTATCTTTGGCTGCCCTGCTGGGATGTTTGGGGAAATCAGCTAGACTGGACCTTTCTGGAAAAGCAGGTAGGTATGTCCTGAGGGCTGCCTTGGGGACGCCCAGTTCCTTGGCCCAATTTCACATCCCCAAAGTGTTTTTCCACTATCTGCAGCATAGGTGCTTTGTGACAGCCACGCCTCAGATACCCTATTCATCCCTGCTGTTGTGTGCTGACTTGTGCCTTCTTCCTGCCAGCCTTGACTTTCCTTTATTTTTTCCAGATCCTGCCATCCTGCAGAACTCAGGCCGTGTCACCTTGCTCTAGTCCATCTTGGTCTGTGTTCTGCTGTTCTAGCAGGATACACCGTACAGGTCTATTGGCTGCCCATCTGTGGAGACCAAGGGCATGGGCTGGTCTCAGGTGAGGATCTTGTGCTGTGGTATAAGGTGGCAGAAGGGAAGGGGTCATCAGTGACACAGGGGGAATCAGGCAGACCTCACCTTTTTTGTCAGAAACCTACTCCATAGTTCATTCACTCTGGAGACAATGGCATAAGTTCGTTCTTAAAGTTTCTACCTCTTAGTACTATTAACAGTGCTGATTAAACTTCAACGTGACTTTTTCATGGGACATTCAAACCCTAGCATCCTCTTATCCTACAAAAAAGCCTCATGTGCTTAATTACCTGAAGCATAAATTGGCCACCCTGGGATCTTTGGTCCTCAGTTACATCTGTGCTTACTGTCCTTATTGTTTTATTTTCTTTTGACTTAGACAGTGGTGCTTCATTTCATGAACTTAATTTATTTCGTGATTTTGGAAAAGATGGCCATGTTTGTGTTTGTGTGAGAAAGATGGCACTGCTGTGTTTGTCACCAGATGCAGTTTGCAAACAAAAGGTTTTGCCAAACACTTCTGTTTGTGAACCTATTTGTTTGCAAACAAAAGCATTTGTGAACCAGGTACCAGTGTATATCAAAGTATTTATGCTGTCTTGTTCCATCAAAGAATCAAAGCATCTTTGTGCTTATATATCTCCATGAAAGGCTATTTTTTAAAAACAACCCAGGTGTGGTGGTGCATACCTATAATCTCGGTACTCTGGAAGGCTGAGGCAGGAGAATTAAAGGTTTGAACCTAGCCTGGCTAATTTAGCAAGTTGGTGAGATGGTGTCTCCAAAAAAAAAAATTCTAGGGATGTAGCTCAGTCTGAAGGTTATGGGTTAAATGCCTAGTATTGCATAAACAAATAAAAATTTAAAACAAAATAAGTGAGACTTGGGTAAAACACAGGTTTACTGCATACATGAGGCTTTGGATTTAATCTTTATAGTTTCAGAAACAAAAACAAAAACAAAAAGCCAGTGGAACTTTTCCACAGAAAAAGCAGCTAAAGCACATTAAGATCAAAGAGAGAAGAAAAACTGCCTGTTATCCTGCTGTGCCAATATAAAATCTAACACTGCCAGAATTTTTCTTCCTGGTTCTTCTCTTCATTTGCACTTTCAAAGCTGTCATTGTTCAATTTCTCTCCAGTTTTTTTGCTTAAAGTTGTATCAAATCCATTTCCACATTGATACCTGAACTATTTTTAGAATCACCATCTAAAAATTGTTGTATATTTCATCAAAGAATAATGGCACATCTTTTTGTTTTGTTTTGTTTTTTTCCTTTTTATCAGTACTGGGGATTGAACTCACAACTGCCTGCTTGCAAGGCTGGTGCTTATGCCGCTGAGCTAAATCCCCAGCCCCAATGGCACATCTTATTTAACCACTGTTCCATTATTTGTCTATTTCTGGTTATTGCTTCTGCAAAGAAAGCTAAATGAACACTTTTATATGCAAGTCTGTCTTTCCTATGTCTTGGAAATACCTGGTTTTTTGTTTTGTTTGTTTGTTTGTTTTTGTTTTTTGCATTTGGGATTAAACTCAGGGCCTTGCACATGCTAGGCAAGTGTTCTACTACTAAGCTACACTTAATCTCTCCATCTTTGTTGAGTTCGGTACAAGGTCTAGGTAAATTACCCAGGGTGGCCTGAACTTGGAGTCCTCCTCATTCAGCCTCCTGAATAGCTGGGATCACAAGTATGTGCTACCACACCTGGCTTGACACACTTAGTATTGATTTCCAAATTCTGTATGATTCATTTATGAAACTGAACAAGATCACGTGTTTGCACAGCTGTTTGTTAATTTACAAGTTTACACAGATTTGAGGGAGAATGATCGGACTTGTTTATTTCATAAGCTAGCAAGTCCCAGTGAGAAGGACAGTTGTTTGGGGACAGGCATGTCTGAGCTTCCAGGGCCCTAGCTCTGGGGCTAACTTGTAGTGTGACCTAGGACAAATTTGTTCCTTTGCTTGAGTGTTAGACTTTGGTGATGAAATGAAAAGATCTGATTAAGTGACAGAAATAAGTAGATAAATAGATCAGTTAAAAAACACAAAAATTCTGTCTTAAATTAGGTTGATCAAAGAGAGGGTATTTATTGGCACTTACTAGTGTAAAGCAGCACTGACTTCAGGTCAGGCTGCATCCAGGGCCTCACAGAAGATCATCTTTCTGTCTAGTTGCTCTATCATGCTCACTTTAAGACAAACTGTTCCCCTCTGTGGACAAAAGGGAAAGATGAGTTGCCCCACTGCCCATCATTGGCAGAGATGGAGTTAGGGTAGAGGACTGAGTCTCCCACCTGGATCCCATCTGTCTCTGGATGCGGGGGCTTCCTGTATAACTCATTAACTCTGAGTTGGGGAGGGTGGCTCCTCAGAGGTCAAGGTGTGTAGCTAGAGATGGGAGGGTGAGTGCTGAGTAGGCTTTAACTCTGGTGCTACCACGGTAAGTACAGCCTGATGTTTGCACAGATTTAAGTCCACAAGCCTTACTTTTACTGTGTCACCTTCTGCTCCATGTACATTCAAGGGCAGCCTGTACCACCAAAACAGAGTGCTGGCTTGGGGTGTGCATGCACCACGCTGCCTAGCTGAGTTCTGTGACCTCTCTTGCTTTTGGAGATGAGGGGAAAACAGCCCTGCCCCCATCCCAGGAACAAAGCTTTGTGTGTTGGGCCCCATTCCTCCATGGTGACTTCTACGCGGAGAGCTAATTGTCTAATTGGTCTTTTCCTCCGCTGGAAGACCAGGAAAAGGCTCTGGTGGGGAGCTAGGGGTGAAACCCAGGAAAAAACCTTATAAATACCAGGAGGGGACCACAGGAGGAGGGGATCTCTTCTGGCAATAAATGAGGTTGGCGGATGCTTCCTTCTGGAACCAGCGTTCCTCTAAAGAACTGACCAGAGCTAGTACCCATTCTCACTTTACCTGTCTGTACAGAAGGAGCTTGAGCTAATACCTTTCTATCAGTAGAAGAAACACCCAAAAGAAACATGGGCAGTGGGGCTGAGTGGGAAATGATTTCTTCCCCCTCAAAAAAAACCCAAAAACCCCAAGGGGTTAACAACTCCCCTATGAAAAAAACTAACCTATGAAAAAAAACAGAGAACAAATAAGACCAACAAAATATCATTGGTCCCACAATCATATTGATGAAGATGATTGCATGCCTAGTGGTGACAGTATGGGACTGTGCTCTCAGCCACTCAGAGAAGCACATGTCCACTGTCCCAGGAGGGTGGCTTGTTGGTATACGATGTGAGCCTTAGGACAGTGGCTGCATATCCATTTTTTCTGATGTTCTATAAAGGCAGGAATTGTGGGTGTTTGCAAAAGTAGTATAGCAAAACATACAGTAGCCAGAGAAATAGTCTTAAAATCATAAATGATAAATGTCATCTTCCTCCAAGTCCTTACACTACTCCAGAGGATTCTCACCAGGCACAGAACAAATCCTGCTCCTGACTGTGTAACCTGGCCCAGCTCCTCCTTGGCTCCTCACCCTTTCACTATCTCTTTGTCTCTTTTCTGTCCTCAAAAATGCCAGTCCTGGGCCAGCCTCAGGATCTCTGTGCTTGCTGTTCTGTCTCCTGGAATAGCTGGCTCTATGGCCTGACATCCTCACATCAGTTAGTGTTCACTAAATATTGATGGTTGGTCTGAGAGTGTCCTAGAAGTCCATGTGTTAAAGTTCCCAGGGTAGTACTGTTGAAAGCTGATGGTACCTTCAGGAGGTAGTATCTTTTAGGGACTCTCTTGGTTTTGGGGGGTGTGCCCTTGAAAAGAATTATGAGACCTCAATGATTTCTGTGCCTCTCTTTTGTTTGTTGCTTTGCAGTGAAAAGTTCTGCTCTGCTACAGACACCCACCACGATGTGCTGCCTCACTACAGGCCCAAAGCAATGGGGTAATCAGTCATGAGTGGAACCTCCAAAACTGAGCTAAAACAAACCTCTCCTCTTTGTAAGTCTCTTTGTAAGTTGTGTCTCTACAGTATTTTGTTACAGTGATGGAAAATTGACCGACACAGATGTTAAGAGTATGAGCTTTTGTGTAAGGTATGGTTATAAGCTTGATTCCACTTGCTGTGTGGTTTTTGGGTAAGTTCATTCACCTGTCTGTGTCTGTGCTGTGAAGTGCAAAGGAACAGTCTTGTGGAGGTACAGTGTGAGCCCTTAAGAATGGTTTGTATGGCTGAGGATTTAGCTGAGTGGCATAAGTGCCTGCCTGGCAAGCACAAGGTCATGAGTTCAATCCTCGGTACCCAAAGAAACAGAATGGTTTGTAATAAGAACGGACATTTCCAGATATTGTTTAATTGTCCCGCTATGGATTAAGGAGATTCCGGGGCATCCACAGATGACATCCTAAAGGATGCTGAAGGAAACAGTCTGACACAGAAAAAGGGTTTAAAGTCCACTGTTAATCACTTATCTCATCATTATGGGCCTGTAATGCATGCTCGTAAAAATTCAAGCAACAATTGTGTTGCCATTAACAATAGCTAAGCTGTGGAGTCAGCTGAGGTGCCCGTAAGGAGAACAGGGAGAGAACTATGGTGTGTGTACACAGGGCAGTATCAGTGAGCCATAAAGTAACGTGAAGTCATGTCATTTGCAGGAAAATGAATGGAACTTGGGCACATCATGTTAAGCAAAAGAAGCCAGACACAAATTTTAAAAGTTAAAAAACAAAAAAAGATGACTTGAAAGTAAAAGAGGGACTACTAGGGAAGGGATCCGGGGAGAGAAAGGAGGTCAGAAGAGAAGTTGGATATGGTCAAAGCACAGGATATGCATAAATGGAAATGTCACAGTGAAACCCATTAATTTCTACAGTGAGTTTGTGTTCATAAAAAAACTCAAGCAACAAAGTAAACAATGAAAGTCGTTTACATTCTAAAATTTCTCATCTAAAATTAATGCTGCTTTAAATGAAAAGGGAGGTGAGCAATACGCCAGTATGAACTCACCTTTTAAAAATAAAATGTTAATATATACTCCTAAGGAAAAGCCTGAGGATTTGTATAAAACTGTTAAGTGTGTTTGGTGGGAAGCAGAGATTGCTGGCATTTCTCACAGCCTCCTTGGCTTTTCATGGTCTCTTCAGTGTCTGTGATAGCTGACCATATTTGAGTTTTTTTTGCTGTCTGAAAAAGTTGTTACCTGCTCGGTTCTGCACCTCTGAAATTCAAGGTGGCACCTGCCCAGCATGGCGCTAGGCCCTGGAGTGACAGCCTGTCCCTTCAATACTGATCTCTGCGTTCCTCTTCTAGGCCCCAAATGGAACTTTGCACTTTTCGTGCATGCCAGCATTCCCCCAATCAGTTGCCCGTCCCTTCAGACTCCACACGCTGTCAAATCTGATAAAAGCCTGAGCTGCTTTGTCTGCCGCGGAGGGATCTTGCACTCTTCTGCAGCCCTCCTGTACCTGAGGAAAAGCCCTTTTTTCCTTTTCTGCTCTTGCTTCTCTACTGTGCCAAGGAAAAACCTAACACCACGCATTCCCTGCCATCGTCTGGCTACCTGATTTCCAGGGGCTCTTGCGAAGACGCCTCTGTCCTCTGCTGTTGTGCCAGAGTGAGCTTGAGGCTCAGTAAACATCAGAAATGGAAGAGATGTTTGTGTGATGATTCTAGGGTTTGCTAAGATGCTAAGGAGTTCTACATGGCCTTGGAGAATGCAGTAAGCTATGTATGAGTTTGAAACTGAAGTGTACTGTAGGACGTTCAGGATAAAACAAAACAAAACAAAAAAAACCCTGTCAACTCACACTGAATTAAGAAATGAAAGGAGTTGATTGGTATATGTAACTGAAATGCCTAGAGCCTCTGAGTTTCACGCATGGCTTGATCCAGGTGCTTAAAAATATTCTTTTAGTCTCTTCCAGCTGTTTTCCTTTTCTGGCCTCACTCTGAGACACGTTCTTTCTGTGTTGTGTCGAGATGACCCTTTAGTGGCTCTCAGTTCACATCCTAACAGCTCAGCAATTGTAACCAGCTGATTTCATGATTCCAGGGAACCGACAAAAAGTTAGAGTGGGCCTGATTGGCCAGCATGGGTTTCTTGCTCACTTCTGAATCATGCTCCAAGCTACTCATTGGCTAGCACAGGGTCCTGGAACCTGTCCATCTCCGAGGGCATGGTGTCAGCTCTACCAGAGTTCATGATGGGGTGGCAGGAGTGGGGTCTCACAGGACACTGTGGGGCTATTGGCAGGGTGGGTGGAGGCTGCTGAGCAGAGCTCCCCTGTCTGCTGGCATCAAAACAGAGGCACAGAATTGCCTTGTCAGGAAGGCTGGATTCCTCTCCACACCCTGCCCTCAGCTCCTGAAGAACAGATGAGGGCAATGTTACATGGGCAGGCACAAGGAGGTAGGGAGAGTCCTTTCCAGGGATCAGAAGAAACACCGAAAAGAGTTGGGAGCTGTGGCCATATCACCCATCTCCAGGCTTCAGTAATTCCATCTGGAAAGGGGGTCGATCTGGCCAGCGACTATAGGTTTTAGGGTTAGTTTGTGCTGGGTATTTTAAGGGTGAAATGACTGGAGTACAGCTACCCTCCTCTTTCCAGGGACTCGGGCAGCTTTCTTAGTGGATTCCAGTTGATTGCTGGGACTGTGCTGGGTGGGGACAGTATTGTTTGTCTGGGAGGGGCCTGTTAGCTTGGCTGTAAGCCAAGGGGAGGGTAGAAGCTATTTCTGGCAAAGGCTGAGGTGGATGCAAAGTGTGGGGGCACTTGGAGGAGAAACCTGAGCTGAGCCGGAGCTCAGGGTCTGGGAAGCCTGCAGGGCTGGTGCTGCTGGATGGGGCTCTGGGCGAGGCCCCTGGCAGCTGAGAGGGGAGCGGGTGGGATAGGAATGTCCCTGCTCCCAGGCACCTGTCCTGGGCCTGTCGACCTTTGACCCCACCCTACAAATACTCCTGGAAAGGAAGTGAGAAAACAGACATCCTGCGCACAGTACCTGCACTTCCCGTGGAGATGTTAGCAGCAACTCAAGAGCCTCCCCGAGGCCCAGAGTCTCAGTCAGGCCCAACAGCAGTGAGGAGGCCCAGCTGGTCCCGCTGTGCTGAAGACTGGCGGCTTGGGCTCTGAGAGGGGAAGTGACTGCTGGAAGGCTCATGGCACTGGAGTGCCCGAGTTTAGGGCTCGGGAATAATCAAGAGTGCATCCCAAGTTACGTCAGCCTGGACAGGTCAGCAGGACCGTGTCATGTAGCTCAGTGGTAGAATACCCCTGGGTTCCACCCCTTCTTCCTGCCAACAAACTGAGCCTTGAAGAGGGCCTCAGAGGCAGTGACTTGGCCAAGGTGGCACATGAGACAGGGCAGGGCTGCTGTGCAAGGAAGTCTGATCCCAGCCAGAGCTTTCCTCGCTGTGCGATCTGTGCAGTCTGAACAGGATGAAATCTGCAGAGAAAGGCTTTCCAGGGGAAGGAACAGCAGAAGCAAGGATATAGAAGGAAATAAGTTGGGGGCATTTGGGACAGGGCCAACACGCTGGCAGGGGTCTCTGCCAGTGATTTGTGGGTCATGCACAGTGGGTTGGGGGTGGGACCCCCAAGGTTTGCTGCTAACCGATGATTCTTCACCTCTTCCTGTGGGTTCTTGGATGGGGGGAGTGGCACACAGAGCCCCGCAGCATGGGTTTCCACAGACAGGTCTAGAGCACACAGATGGGTGAATCCCTGCTCCTCATGGACCCATACTGAATGTCCCTCTGCAGCTTGGGCTGCTGTGGATGGACAGGAAGCGGCCATTCCTTCCGTGAGCTGCAGAATGGCCTCTGTGTGCACCACAACAAAAAGGCCTTTCTGCCAAGTCGGAGGGGGAGGAAGCAGCCAGCTGGGCCCAGCCTTGGCCTGAAAGGAGGCTCTGTTGGGTCTTGGATGCACAGAATATAGGGGACAGGAGACGGGCCTCCTCATTGCTGTCTGGTTCTCTTACTGCACCAGGTAGGGTGGTGCTGAGCCATTGTGCAAGTCTGTCTGAGCCAGTGTGAGGCTTTCCTTGCAGTGTGACTTCAGTCAAGTCACTTCCTCTGAGCCCACCTCCTCTCAAGTAGAATGTGTGAGGGGAGCATGCTAATTTGCAGCGCTCAGCCACATGCTTTGCCTGTGCCCAGTGCCAGGCCTGTTGCCAGCACTTGACAGCCTCCCACCCTCTATTCACTTGTGTCAGCCTAAGTTAGGTGGTGTCACACTCTCCGCTGTAGCCCTGGTATTGCAGGTTGGGGTTCAAGCTCCGGGTGTTTTATACTGCAATTCCAAGCTATGCTAACTCACAGAAAACAGGTTGAAAGGAAATGCCAAACTATTTTTTGTTTTGTTTTGTTTTGTTTTTTTCCTTTTTATCGGTACTGGGGATCGAACTCATGACTGCCTGCTTGCAAGGCAGGCGCTTATGCCGCTGAGCTAAATCCCCAGCCCCTTTTGTTTGTTTTTTTGAGGAAGGGGCTGGCACTGGACTTGTGATCCTTTTGCCTCTGCCTCCCAAGCACTGGGATTACAGGTGTGCACCACCACTCCCAGCCAGAAATGCCTGTTAACAAAATTGTACCGATACCCATTTTTCTTCTTGTTCTTCTTTAATATCTTGATTTTCTTAGGAAGTAGCAAAATGTAAACAAAAAAAGGTGCTGCAGGAACATGGGCCATGAGGGGTCTAAGCTGAGTTTAGCAGGTCACATTAAAAAGGTCTAAAGATGCAGGCTTTTGTTAATCCTGGGGAGTTGGTACGGTCCCAGGAGGCTTGTCTCCCCCATCCTCCAAGAGGATAAACAGGGCTTTTCCCACAGCCTGTCCCTTTGGATACCAGCTTTCTCTAGGGCTATAGCTGGGGGCTGGGGGTGGGAGGCTCGGGCTTCCCAAGGAGCTGAGGCCTCTGCCAAATCTCTCCTCTGGCCTTGGCTCTGAGGAAGAGTGCCATGAGGGGAGGCCTCTCACCCTCTCCTTTCTCATTCTTA